GGTCCTTATGTGCACTATAGTTTCAGGGATTTATTCACCCCAGCTGAATTCCACCTTCTATTTTGTCCCATAACTGCTTTTCTCCTATTTCAATCCATAACTCAATAACTCCTGGTCTAATTTATCAAAGCAGGTTGTAACTAGTGAAATATAAACAGTTGAAACTTCTGTAGGTACTGTATTATCTTCATATCTGAATAGTTTTATGGCAAAAGTTTCTTCTACGCTCATATCTCATGCTGCATTGCTGAGTCCAAACATGCTAAGTCAGGCTGTAGGGGGATACTTTGTATGTTTACACCTTGCTTTGATCACCTGATCTTTGTCAGTTGGGGTATGAGGGAATCTAAGAACCTTTAGTAGCCAATGTCAAGACCACATGTTTGATACGTTTTCCCTGCAAAAGGAAAACATATTTTAGGGTGTGTTTATGTAGGCTTTTTTGACCTTTAATTCATTTCCAGTGGTTCCATGTCTCACAAAGATATAAAAGGTTCAAAGGTAACTTTCTAAAACCTTCTGTACTTATTGTGAACCTGTGTAACGCTGTTGCTACTTCTAGCATGTCACTCTAGTTTAAATTACTTCCCGAAATCCTTAGTCATTTATGGGTAAAGAATAGGTTATGATAATATTAGATGTATTTGTTCTGATCTCTACTTGGAGTCAGCTTATGTTTCTAAGAAATGCATTTGCCGAAAGACTGCTTTTATAGAAGTGTTTTTATTTTGTATTTGTAAAGCCCTGTCCTATTAGATTACTTTACACTGGTTAAAAACAAGTATATTTTATTTTTCTAGTGAACATGAAGTATAACATAAGACTTTGCATGGATTTCTAGGTCAAGCTGTATGGTATTGAAATCCTAGATGATGACTGAACCTTGRAAAGAAGCTGAGAAGTGGCAAATACAGTGCAACTAACATGAGTTATCAAAGCAAAACATAAATTAGATATTTCTGTATACAATAAGGTAAAGAAAAAAAGTGCATTGTTTTTCTAATTTTTCATACAAATGGATTTTAAGCTTGTTTGTGCATTCTAGTATTGACTGCATTTTTTACTTTTATMATCTACAAGGCCAAGTATTTACTTAAATGTTATTTCTCAGTATTAATCAAAGCAAGTTATGCTATCAAGACCACTTAATGTTTAAGTACCATCCTTAAGAAATTTTCCAACACTTCACCATCTTTGCCTTGAGTGGAATTTTGGTTAAACRTATTTTTTACTTTCACAGGCTCAGCAGTACTGCCACAGTAAGGAGTTCCAACTTTTGTATTGCAAAATTGTTCTTCAAATGTAGTCTAGATTTAAAATTGAAATTTAAATTTTAGTTTACATTTATATCTTATAAATTGAATGTTTTATTAAAGACATTTCAAAATTTTCATTTGTATGTTTAAGGTAATCCTGAAGGTCTAGAACATATTAAATAAATTATTAAGTGCTTGAATTTTAATTTAATTTGTTTCTTTTTTATTAAAACCTTTGGGGTTTTGCAGGTATAGAATTATTTAGGGTTTGAGAAATGTAGTCTGAATTATTTTTATGAGAGGTTATGCATTGGTTTTTTCTCTAGTTGCTCCTAAAGGATATTGCCTTAAGTTTGAAATTACTTTAGCCAATGTTGTGCTTTTCAAAAGTCAACTAGCTGGGGCAAAAGCACGTTGCAAATTCTACTTAACTGTTTGGCTATTTAACAAAGCCAGTGGTCTTTGCAGTGCTGCATTGTTTTTTGAATAAAACTTAAAATGCATTTCCCAGTTTTCCCCATTTTAGGTGGTCTTTTCCATACTTCAGTATCCTACTCTAACAAATTATGAAGGATTTTTTGCACAACAAATCATTACTGTCTGTCACTGTCATCATGATGCCTGTGATAGAATAAGAGAAGTTATGTTTAAASAAAATAGCCAGAAAAAAATTCTGACTCCACATGTTTTCTACAGAAGGGTAGGGTGGATGATTATTTAACCCTTTCTAGATTTAAGGCTATGTGAGTAAATATCTCTGAGCATATGTGATGCTCAGGCTTCTGTGGCAAAGCCCACTTTGAGTACTGTATCTTTGGAGCTGTCTGGAATCTGCCTGAGGCACAGCCAGCCAGCAGCACTTATACATAGGTCGTTTTATGGTCTGGTGAAATCTGCAGCTGGATTTACTCATAACCTGAGGTTAAAGCCTGTTTAATCTGAACACTGAGCAGTTGGATTGCAATTAAATTGTTGGATGATTTAAAACACAGATGGAGATAATACAGGTTGGAGAGAAAGACCACATAGATGTTTGGTAGCTGACTTAGATTTCAGCTCCTTTGTAGCTGAACCAGTCGAAACAGGCCTTCTGCCAAAAAAGGAACTCTTGCTTCACTTTTCCCTTCAGTGTTCCTAACTACACAGTTTCATCCCATCTTTGAGTCAAGGCTCTGCTTCTCAGTGCCTTCTGCGAGGTCTCTCTTTACTCTGCCATCTCTCTGTTAAGAAGGTTCACCTAAAACCTGAGTATTAAAAGATGAGTAGTGCTAGCACCTTTTCACAGTATGATCATATCACATGACTAATAGCTGAAAGTTACTTGAAGTTGATTTTATAATGAAAAATTATAAAGCATACAAACTCTGCAGGAACCTGCGCTATTTACAGCAATGGCAATTCAGTAAGTTAAATAATTAAAGCACTAACTATGTTTAGACAATACTGTGYACACTCTGAATTCTGCTCACCCGTAAGTGTGCTTGATGCATTTTTAATAAGCTTTGATATGGAAAATAATTTGTTGGGTACTGTCCTTAGATTGGACTTTATTTTGTTTCTCCACTAAGATAAATTATAGCACATTTCCACACTTTTCTAAATTAATTTTGAATGTATGTTTTGAATATTGAAGTAAAAATTGGACATAATAAACAACATTTCAGGCACAAGAGAAATAAAAAACAGATGTGCAGAATATTAAGTTACTCTAGATGCTGAACTCTGTCTGTCATCAGCACTTTGAATTGCAGAAAATGCAGAAGGATACAAGAAGAGACTGAAAATAATTCAAAATCTTCTAGAGATGTTGCTGTGAAGTCTGTTAGAGACTTTACAGTATCTTTTGATTTTATGAAAGATGCTTAGCCACTAATGATCAACATTCATACRGATATTAAGGAAAGAATCTTCTGCTTCTTTGAAGGTCCCTTTCCACCATGACACTAAAGACTCATATTTTCCATTTCAGAAAAACAAGCGAGTACTAACACCTTTTTACACGGGAACGTGGATACAGAGTAATTGTATAATTGAAAAGGTTTGTATCACAGCTGTGACTATAGTCATGTGCTAAAACTTGAATCATTCTTTCAGTGCAAATTTAGTTGTCCTTCAGTGAATTAATAGGTAGCATTCTATTWATCTGTTTGCTGAATTCGCATTGACAACAAATTACATGTGTAGACTAAGAAAAAATGTCTGTCTAACAAATACCTGGTTAAAAAGGTACTTTAAGTAAGGGTATAAAGATACAAAACCAGGTATAAAATCTGTTGATTCTAAACTGAATGGCACAAATTGGAAAATAAACATTCATTTCAATCTGAAGGATATACTCTGCCTAAACTTGCTTAAATTGTTAATAGTAATGAAAGTGTTACCAATTAATCAGAAACTGGTCATGGCATGTAGCATTAGTATTCTCTGAGTTAGGATTTTTACCTTGTGTGACCTTGATTTGATCCTCTAAAAACTCTTTTGTATAGCATCTCAGCTAAGTTCAGGGGCTTTTTGAGGTTAGTTTTGTGGTATATAAAAACAGAAAAACGTATTTTCAGCTTAAGGTGAAAGACAGATTTCTATTATGCCATAGACGTGTTATAGTCTTAATGTCTAAAAAAAGCTCTCTAAAAGTTGTACACAAGAGTACTTAGAAGTTAGCTTTACTGGAATTCTCCTTTTTATTACAGAACTGTCATCACCATTTTCTTTCAGAAATAATCCAGTCAAAGGAGCTTATGTGAGCCTGTCAGCAGTCCCAACAGCCTCCTGTAGGCACTGGTAATAATCCCATTTCTTTTGGTTGTGTTTGGGTATAGGTCAAAGTAACAACACTGTGTCAGAACCCTAAGGCTTTTAAAAAGSGCTTTATTTTTCTGAAAATTATTTAAATTTGCTTTCATTAGGAATATAAATTACAGAAAATCCTTGGGAAAGACAGTTCCCTGTTTTAATTTACATCTTGTTATTCCTTTCAGCCTCCACAGCTGATTGTGTGCTACATGAGCCATTAAAATGTGTAAGCCAGATACAAATCTGAAAGAAATGTGTTCCATCACTTGCGCTGTGATAGATGAATCAACGTGAAAAAAATAAAAATACATTTGTAAACTATTAGAAAAAAGGCTGAAAATCACAACTTTTATCTGGTTTTGTATTCTTGGTTGCAGTTTCTTTTTGAAAGGTTGAGTGGAGATCTAATCCAAGTTTTGTTGCCAGCTTTTTTTGGTCAAAACTTTTGACCATCAGCTATCAGCCAGAGCTTGTTAAACAAGTTACAAAGTGCTGTCTTCTCAAAAAAAAAAAAAAAAAAAAATTAAAAGCAATGCTGGCAAAAGCAGTAAGGTTAGCAGAGGCATCTAGTGAAGTAGAATTCACTCTCTTGTTTAGTTTCCTATTTCTTTTAAGAGTAAACATGTGAGATTCCTTCACATGCTAGTTCACCATGATAAGCTCAGGGTGTCCTTGCCCTTTGTGATTTCCCTTTCTGCCTTTTCTCATGTGACATTACACAAGTAGCATATATAGCAACATTAGGCTGATACAAATATACCAGCCCTTCAAAACAGATTTTTATTTAAAAAAACCTACTACATATTCAAGAAATACAAGAAAGAAAAGCAAAGTTATTGCAGTAGCTAACATAAGCAGTTAACCCTTTAAAACTTGTATACATTTTATGTAAACAGATACTCACTTTTTGTCTGGCTATTAAGCTAAAAAAATATGTAAGAGCCCAACTGTTATTTTTCATGTGTTAAAGTTTGAAAAAGTAATTGACCTTCCAGCTTCAGAAAAAACATTTGTAGAAGGCAAGTAATCAAAAATGGTTGTATTTCTTTTTTCTTTTTCAAGTTTAACAGAAATACTGAAGATTTATCCCTGTGCAAGACATCCAAAAGCATGTGCAATTTAAAAATAATCAAACATTTTATCACCATAATGAATTGTACAAATACAAGTGAAGAACCGCTTAGAGACTGCAATTTTACAGATTTAGATGTAAAAGCACAAGCTAGCAGCAACATATCATTGTAACAAGAAGCACCATAAAGAAAGATGGCAATGGAAAAAATCAGTCTTCACTACGTGAAGTAGTTTGTTTTGTTCTCAGGTGGAGTTCTCTATGTCATGAAAGAGATGTATTATTTGGAAAGAGACCATTGAGCAACATAAAGATTACAGTTTCTACAATCTGATTAAAAATATTTCCTTCATGTGAGGAAAGTTTTAAAATATTTCAAATGTATCAAAGGCTACTAAAAAGAGGAAGAAAAAGAACTTCTGAGTTTGTGCTACTTAGGAAAAGAATGAGACAGTTTCACTTGCACCTTGGAATGCAAGATTTAAATTGGACTGAAGTGATACAATTTTCTCAAAAAAATCAAGTAGTACTTTCCTATTAAAAAAAAAATAAAACAAACTGAAGTATTTGCATAGACTGAAAATCATTTACAAGGTGCTTTTAAGTCTGGTTTATCCCACATATTTCAGTGGTAAGCAACACTTAATTTTCAATTAAAAATTGATTGTGATGATGTGTGAAGCTATGGCCCTTTCTTCATTAGTCTAATTTTCTTTGGTATCCCTAATACACTCTCTAAAGATCTGAAGAATTCTGTTTCAGATTTACTTCACCGTTAATAGTTTAGCATATTCTATTTACTTTTTCCCTTTGCTTCAGCCAATAGTGGTAAGACCAACAAACATTACCTGAGTTTTAACCACCTCAGAAGTATGATTTTACTATGCATTACATGTCGATTGAGGAAAAAATGTTCAGTAGCAACTAGAATAAAACATTAGGATAAGGATTTAGAATATAAAATTTAGAAAACTGAAGAGTCATGTTATTTGCTTTAAGGAAGGTTTTTGTCTTTGTCTTTGTTTACCAGTTCTAAGTAAAGACAATCAGCTATTCTAATACTTGAATTTTACAGTCCATTGCTGTTTCATTTTAAGCTCTGAGAAAGCATGAAGCAGTATTTATTAAAATGTATTCTTTTTATTCACTTTTGCTAAATACATGTTTACACTTAAAGTTTACCAATTTAAAACAACACATAAAAAAGGAGCAGTGCAATTTTTTATTAGAAATACAACAATATGTCACAATATGTTGAAAGCTAAATGTTTATTTCAGAATTGTAGGCAGCATACAAGCAGTGTTTAATTTTTATAGGACTATGTAAAATTACTCTTTCTAGATCTGCTGTTCTTTACTTTGGAGCTCTTTTTCTAGTTAACTAGTGAACAGGGAAAAAGACAAAACAAAACAGAAATTACTACTAAAGTTGTGTTCTTAAGACATCCTGAAAAACAGGTAACTGTAACATGAGCATCACAGAAGAATCTGCATACCTGGCCCATTTTCTGCCCACTGAAAGAAGCCACACTGTTTTTCCTTGCCAAGAGGGCACACAAAAAAGTTCTTCCCATTATTGGGACCAATCTTCAACACAGTCTTCATAACACATCGCTTGCCATGGTTACAAAATGGAAAATCCAAGTCAGCCCACTGCCAAAGAAATAGGTTTCAGACACGTGTGATGGCTATAAATTCCATATTTTAAAATTGATAACAGAAACAGATCTACAGGGGATGCCATTGAAGAAATTCTTCCTAGCAGTTAGGATAGTTTATCTCTTTTGTGATCACTTTTTAGATTTTTCTTTAACACCAATTGCAACTGCATGCACTTTGATTAGTGTAACTTTAAATTACATTAACAAATAGTTTCCTTCAAATTTAGGCATTAAAGTCATTAAGGTCTTGAGTTCATCTATTAACTACCTGATAGCAAGTGACTGTCCAGTCATTTATCAGGTCAAACTCTTCTCAGACACATACAATCATAGCAAGGAGCAGAGGCCACCAATTGCTGCTATGAAGGTCATATTAGGTATTAGTGCAGCAGTGGGAGGGTTTGCCCAGGCAGATTACAGAATCATCATCCTAAGAGGCTAGGATTTTGGCTAACTAGAACCATGGCTGACAATTAGATCTAGTTTGCTATAGTTCTTCTTTGAACAAGAGGCTGATCTGAGCAACTTGTACAAGTCCCCTCAAACCAGTATTTCTCCTATGCATCTGTTTTAYACCACACAGAAGTAGATTAAGAGCATTTGCACAAGCAGGTGCCTTCTCAGCAGTAAGAGAAGTAACTAAAACTGCAAGTTTATAACTATTATTATACTCTCAGTTTCAATTCAGTATGCAAGAGTATTTAAAATTATAACAAACTTTAAATGGAATATATCTGTCCGCAATTGAAAGATCAGTGGGGCAGGGAGGCTGCATGAATGAGTGCTGATTATAAAACAGGTCCTGAAGTCTTATACATACTTGAAAGTAGTCACACCGAGTTTCCCTGGGTAGAGGGCAGCAATAAAACTGCCTTCCCTTGTTTTCTCCATCTTTCCTCACAACTCTGAGGCTGCAGAGACGGCAGTGTTTACTGCAGCGAGGATGGCCTGTGCTTAAGATACGAGTATCATCTGTCCCATTAGTTTGAGGTGCGCTGCAATGACAGGTTACATAATGACTCCTGTGTAATTATAAGTGGATTACCAGCCAAAGAACTCTTTTCTACCATTAAAATGGCTCACTGACTGTACCTTTACACACAGTGACAGACAAAGGACTTGCTTCTCCAATGCACCGCATTGCATCTTTAAAGCTGAACGATTGCGAGTAGTGAATAGACAAGACTGCATGCTTTTCTTTGAGGTATTATACCACTTTTCCCCACCATATTTTAAATTATTTTCAAGTACTCAAAATTATCTATGAAACAAAGTAAATATTACTACTGATAGTACCACCTCAAATTCTGCCATATTCTAAAAGAGTATTCTGCTCTCAGTGGGAAAAAGACCTATACCAAGCAATTACTCCAGGCTGAAGGCATTTGTATGCTTCAGAGAAAAGACTCCCACCCTCTTTACTGAAATGTTACAGTAATGCACCAAATCATATTTAGACAAGAAGTAATCCAATTGAGGGGTTAGAATAGAATTCTCTGACTGGAATAAAGTTTCTCTCTTTCTTCCTCATGATTGAGATAATTTCTGACTATATGAATGCAACACACAAGATTTCAATTATAAACATTGACATGAAAAAGATTAATACTCTGAAATGTATCTTTCCAATATATGTATAGAGCAGAAAAGCAGTGATGGAATCTTAGTGAAAAAATATTAACTCATTCTGGTCAAGTGATCAGCTTAGGAATTTTATGTTGTCTTCCATGTCTGGAAGACTGCAGTCCTGCAGACATGAGTACTTTTATTCCAATACCTCATTAAAACACAAGAAAATAAAAATAACAGATGTTTTGGTTGTTTTAGTACTTTTTTTTAACATTTCAGTTGATGACTTGCTACAGCCACCTATTATTATGATTGATGCTGTCTCATTTCTTGTTTGCATTCCTCTGTATTCTCAGTTATCATACCTACAGTCTCAGTTCCTCAGTCCTCTACTGAGAGCACAAGAAGAAATGGTATTCATACAGTCTAGCCTGGCTAGTCAGTGAAATAGCTTCAAAACTGGTGCTTCAACAATGCAAGAAGTAATTTCTGTATTTTAGAACAGACATATGACCAAGAATTGTGTAGCGTATCATCAATATTTCACATTCAGCCTGCATAATTTATCATTTTAAGTGACATCTACCTTGCACTCCCATTAGTGTTCTGAATGTCTGCCCAACTTTTCCCTGACAACCCTCATAGATTCTCACATTTCTCTTAACTAAACAATGGATGTGTTCTGAACAGACCCTGTAAATAAAAGTTGAGGTTGGGTAGAGCATATAAGTGATTATATATAGAATAGGAAAGAAAGTTAAGGTAAAAGCAGTAATGGGAAGTTCATCAAGGTACCTGTACAGAGTTTCCTATCATGGAAGAATGTTGAAAAGTGGTAGCTGACAAATAACTTTAATTAGAATATATTCATCCAGCTAGCTCGGTTTTGTAATCTTTCACACTGACTTCAAGATCTCTCTAAGCAGACAGCAACTACAGTGCTAAGATTAGTTAACTCCTTAGTTAGAACTGTGCTTCACCTATTAAAGCCAAACTATCCTATTCAGTGGGAATAGCTGAACTATTAACAGCTGTTTAGCTAACAGTACTGGCCAAATGCCAAAATCAGGACTTTTCTAGTGACTGCCTAGGTCATTCAGTGCTTTTGAAATCTGAATTACAGCTAGCCTAGAATAAGTTACTGCAGGAAGAAATCCAAACACAACACTCTTGAGCCAAACAGCACAATATTCAATTAATCTTTAAGGATAAAGTTGGTTTATGGCTTTATAAAGGCTCGTTTTCATTTTAGAATACATACCTGATTGCTGTATTATATGGGTGAGTTGAAGGTATATGATCAGTTTTCTGTTTCTTCTGTACATGTTTGAAACAGACAGGTTGCTGAGATGAGGACAAAGCCAGAGCAGTTATGTGTGCTGAGCAGTCCTTGTCTGTGCTTCCCCCTGACTGGTAGGCATTGCTTTGGATCTGTTTACAATTGGTTTTTGGAGTAACACACTGACAGAGTTCATTGGATACCTGGGTATCATTTCTTATTTTGTTACCAAGATCTGTCAAGACAAGAGTTGTAGTTCCAAATGCAGTTTTCCTATTGATCTTTATTTCTGTGCTTGGTTTTCTGAAATTATTACAAGGGTACTTCATTAAGTTTGTGTTAAAGGCTGCAGAATCTTCAAAACACTCCATCTTTGGAACTAAGGAAAAAATTATTAGTTATAATCCATCCGCATGGAATAATACATTGTATTTCTGATCTGTATTCATAAGTCATCATATAAAGAATGAAAGAGTAAGTTTACAGTACTATCTCAAAACCTGTCACAAATTAGRTAAGAGTAAAAAATTTCTTACAGTAAAACAGCCTCATGCACTTTTGGAGTAATGTAAAATGTGTTTCAATCTAACATTACTACTGCTTGAATAGGATCAGTTAATAGTACTATGTAAATGAATGCTATTGGACAGTCAACCATAAAAAATTGAATTTGCCCAAACACAAGGATTAAAGTATTTAAATTTTTCAAAATAACCTTTTATAACACCAGCAATGGGAGATCACAAAGTATGGTACCTCCAAGCAGCAATGCGTTATCCATTTTTAAAGCATTACTTCACTATTGACACAAAAAGGAATAATCAGATTTTGGGTTCTTTAGTGTTTTCAGGGTTTCTGTCCTTTCCAAACTTTGTGTGCATCCAAAGTTAGTGTAAGAGGCTTTTCAGAAGAAAGCAGTTCAGACATTTGCCTTGTGTTTACTTCCTGGCATAAACAACAGTTKCTCCACAGAATCAGAGGCACTCCTAGTGGGCAATAATCATTTTAAAAAAATGAGCATAATTTATCAGTGCCCATTTAACACATAAGCAGTCTGCAGGCAGTTCCTTTAAAAAGAAAAGGGTGAAAAGAACTTGATGTCATCCCTATGTGCAATCTTTTTAAATAGCTGTGAAGCCACAGTATCCAAGGACAGAGTCCTTCCTTTTCTGCTGTATCCAGTGAGTGCCCTCTATCATCCCTTCCTGCAAAGAAGAGGGAATTAAGCAGGAGAACAATGGGTAGAGACATATACAAAGGCACACTCTCTCCCAAAGGTATTCTTACTCAGAAACAAAAGAATTGGTTTCAGTGCATTCAGACTTTTAAAGAAAGAATAGTAGCTCAGCCATGTACTTAGCAAAGGAATATGGAATTGCAATGTAATGGTAAATAATTATCTATCTACAGACTGAATCATTTTGGCTGTAGGACCAGCAGTTAATTTTACATACAAAGTATTCTGTCCTTAAAAATTCAAATGTTTCTGGTGACAGTAGTTAATTTTAGAAACAATATAAAAGACAAACACTAAAGAAAGTGAGAAGGGAAACAGTCTTAAGGATTGAAAAAAAAGAGAGGTAAGCAAACCCATATTTGAAAAAAAAAATCTCAAATACCATTCTTACGATGCAAAATAACTTATTTTTAAAAACAAGATTTTTCTAACAGTATTCCATCAAGTCTAACACATCTTCAAATTCTAGGCCTGTTTTCAGTAATTGTATATAACTAAACAACTAAAACTTGGAAGTACTTGGAAAGTACTTGGAGAAGAAACAAGGTTTTGTTTCAAAGCTTAAAATAAAGTAGTTGTGCACATGGAATAATATATTATTAAGCCCAGCTGACATTATTTATTCCAGGATAAATGTTAGTTGGCAAATCTTACTCTGTAAACAGATTAAAATTTCCAGGTTTCTGGTGCTGATTTTGCAGAAGAATAATGCAAGATTAGTCTGTGTTGGCAACAACTGTCATGTAAGACACAAAGACATACTTTTATTGATTCCTGAGAAAAGGTACTATAGCTAGTGCAAGATAAGGGTTTTCCACACATCACTCCATTCATAAAAATCAAGCAATGAAGCAATAGTTCAAGTAGATAGCAGCATTAAAAGCTCTAGCAAGAGACAAACAAAACAAATTTAAGTAAGAAGTCTAGAACCATTTTTACTCTGAACTTGGAGGGGAAAAAACCTAGCTCCTGAGGAAACTGACATCCTTTTAGAAAAAGATACTAAAATATACTGCTTTTGTTCACATGTAAGAATGATAGTTAATTTTGTGGCCCTTGATGATTTCTAATTCAGACTTACACTGCAAACTTTGAATGGTTTTAAGGAGTTGAAAGAATGGTGACTTTTCTCACTCCTTGCCCCAGTGAAAACAAAGGGTCACTGAAGACACTTACCTATAGAATCCCACCTCCACACCAGATTGGAAGATAATGCTTTTGGCATTTAAGACAATATAGCTTTCATACTTCTGTGTAAGATTTCCTCAAGTTCTGACTTCAAGTTAGCTAGTTATACAAATATGATTCACAATGAGACACTTCTACCTAAAAACTACATCAAAACCACAGTCCTCCCCACTTTCCTGATACAGATGCCAGAAAACCCTTCAATACCTTCAGGTCTTGAAGTCAAACAGGCATCACAAATYTCAGCAGAAGGCTTGTTTATTAGGGTACAACGCATACACGTCCATTCTTCTTCAGATTTCTGAGCTACATGTTCATTAGAACATGACCCCCTGCCATATGCCCAGCCAATTAGGCTATTTCGCGCTGGCAGTTTGCTGTGAAACAAAAGAATGATGTTAGTGTTTTGTGACGGTCCTGCTACAAATTGCCTTACATCACTCTGTGCAAGGAGGCATGGGGCTAGAGAACAAACAGTACCTAGTGTTATGCATCCTATCAGAGCTTGGACAGCATGTCCAAGTTTGATTTTCTTTTCTTTACCTCAAGGGTAAATCTTTCCAGATGCTGCAGAAGTAATACAAATAAAAATATTTAAACAAGAAATTGACAGAAAGTTAATTATTAACTAGTGTACTCTCCAGCACAATGCCCCAGCCTCTCAGATTTTCAAGTATTGCAGCAAAAATCTTGGTGAAAAAGGGAGACTTTTTCAGTGCTTTTCCCCCATCCCKTGTAGAGAACACTTGCTAACAAATGCATCTCGACGAAGAACTGTTTAGAATATGAATTGCAGAAAATCACACAGTCTAGCAAATATTTTTTTTTGTTCTCATTCAAATGCTACCCATAAGTCCTCTTCGTTATCATAACAGCCAAAAAGCACTGAAAGCCTTAAAAGTTAGAAAGTCTCTTGTGTGTCACCATTTGTTGGAAAGCCTTTAAACATGTAAGAACCTGTTCAGAATTATGAAACCTAGCTATGACTTGTGAGCCAAAGCTATACTCCAGACACCACTAAAGATCTTGTTTATTTATTTTCCTGTAAATTATAATACCTTCTATGTTGATACACTGTTATAGAATCAGTTACTCCTTTACAGTCACTAAGTGTTACCAGGAACTACTTGTCATAGTATCCAAACACTGACAGCATGTTAAATGTAACTTGAACTTAGCTGTTCAGTAAATTATGCTTGTAAATTTTTAAGTACTATGATATCAAACCACTTATGGTTGATAAGCTGTCCAGCATTTTTCTTCATAGTTTTTATGGAATTGTGCCCTTTTTAGAGACTTATTAATCCTAAGTATTCAAGCACTTCAATTAATAATGCAAATGCTGTAATTGGGAATTGTTGTGACACTTCTTTGACCTATCACTTTTTCCACTCTCTGTAACAGGCTAGATTTCTAAGATAATGTTAGAGATATCCCCTACCTACAACATCTTCCACAACAGGAAAACTAAGGAGGATAATGAGAACTGACACACCAAAGAGCCTGTGTTGTTAAGAGGTAGAACAGACATTACAGTAGCATTCACCAAAATACTGTGGCTAGATAGCAAAACAGCTGAACTGTGTTCACCCATGTGAAAATGGGTATTTTCACATTATTACAACTGTTGTTCTACTCAGCTATCAAAAATGCTAGACTGAATATATTCAGTGTGTCGTGTTTTGGGGTTTAATTCCATGTTCCTCTGGTTCATTTGTACTGTCATTACTTGCCACACCCTTTCCCATTTTATGAAATATGTGGAGAAAGATCTATTTTTAAAATTCAAAGTACATTTGAATTTGATGGGGTTTTTAAGTTTATAATGGGTATTTTCTTAATTTTTTTCTGTTGAGCAAAATCATAAGCTACTTGACTTGAACCAAGAACCACTGGATTAAATTCTACAGTTTATGATCTGTAGCAAGTCAGTCTGATCATATGAGGTCCTTCCAGTCTTCAAATGTGAAAAGCGTGAAATGGCAGGTAAATTAACTGAGCTGTACAAACTGTTACATGGTAACAGTTGTTGCATTATTGAAAAGAGCAGTAGAACACAAAGAACAGACCACCGTTTTATTTTATAGGTACCACTACAATGTGTTTTCACTGAAATTGAGCAGTCTGTAATTATTTATTTAAAGATACAACAAAACCCCAAATCACTACTTGTTCTAGAACAGAGAGAGAAGGATTTTTTTCCTATATTGTTTTCTAGTTATCTGACTCAACACAACATTGCTGTCTTTTCCTACCCTTTTGCAAAATATTTCTCATTATTACTTTCTGAAAATACAGCAGATTGGGGTTATCAGCTTGTGAAATATTTATCTTCCATGCTGGAATTCTCAAAGGCAATTTTTAAGCTTTAACCAAAATCCCTTCAGCCATCTGAATCTTAAAAGAAGCTTGGAGGTACGAGAGGGATTTGTGTGTTCTGTAAATCTAATCTAAAACATATATATATATATATATATATACACACAGTCACTAATGAGGCAAAGTTACAAAGTGAAACAGCATCTTATATAAGAGTGACAGAGAGTATAAAGGCAAAACTGTGAAGCCTCAGATGAAAATTTTCAAGAATAACAGGTATCTAAGCCTGAATAAGGTGCTTTTGGAACTTTTACCTTTTGACCCTTTGTGATATCAAATGCATTTTCTGCTTTCCTGAAATAAAAGAAGGAAAGCTGCTACTAGCACAATTCATGTGGAAGTGAAAGTGTCTCTGCAGCACACCTATAGTAAAAGCTTTTAAAATCCAATAAGGAGGAAGAAAAAGTACAAAGCCCCCAAAACATCTCCTGCATTCTGAATTTACTGAAATTTTAGTTATCCTCAGTATAATTCTATATCCACAAGAAAATTGCATAGATGCACAGCTATCTAAATATTCCAGGGCTGACAGGGTTATCCTGCAAAAAGAGACACAAATTTCTACTTCGTGATATTCAACTCAGTAGTGTGGAAACATCCAAGCCCATTATATTGATAACACCAAGAACAAAGGGCAACTTTTCCAGTGACTTAGTTTCAGTGAATAAATCTGAGTACTCTGAATCGTTTTATAATTCCTACATTTAATTAGAGTAATAGCTACTTCATAATAGATGGTGCCTTTGAAAGACCTAGTATCAAAGAATTAAAGCTTCTAACCAGTTTTAAATACCAATGRCCAAAACATTTTTCTTTTGCAAGGTATTCTGGTTTTGTCTGGCACAGTTACTTTAGTTATGAAATGCACACAGATCAATCCTATTTCAAAGGGGGTGTCCTCTTACTGTAATAGCACTTTGAGGTGCTTAAAAATATCACCATGTTACCATCATACCTAAGATTGAGAAGCTGGGGATCCATTTTTTGACACTGAGAGCAGAAGTAAGTCATCCTGTTATTGTCTCCTAAACGACACACGGTGATGCTGCCATTGCACTCCCTGCAGGCTGGACGCTTGTACACTTTATAGTGTTTGTAGAGTGGAGACCCAGTTTTGCGGCACTAGAACAGAACAGGTTTAAATTCCAAGTCAGAGACTCAGTATAAATATAATGTGAGTCTGAAAATAAAAAACCCTACATAAACTGACAACTCAATGACTAGATGAAGATATTTGGGCCACTAATAAGGGCTATCTGTATTTCACATTTTAAGTAAAAAATTGACAAATCAGGTATAACAGTGTCTGTAATTCTCCACATAATGAATTAAAAGAAGTAAAAAAAATATACTAGCAAACTGCAAGCAAATACATGCTAGGGACTCTGAGTTCAGCTGGACCAGCTAGCTCTGATTCAGCTCCAGTTGTCTTTCACCTGCAGGACTCTTCTCGAAGAGCTAATGAGCTCCAATCAATGCAGCATAGAAAATACAACAAACCACAAAACCAACACCATCTTCTCTCTCCCCCAAAAGAGCCAAAACTACAGCACAGTGGCAGCTCAGACCTGATGCTACAATCTGGGTTAATAAGCCTTCCCAAAACCTAAAGAACTGTGCAATGCAGAAATATTCCTGAGATTCTGTACATGTTGGGTAGTGCTCAGTAAAGTTGCTCAGTTTCATTTGGCCCTGGCCGTGCCAGACAATTTGGCTCATGGCACTATGGTGAGTTCCCCAGATCCTGGCAGAAAGTTATATTAAATAAAGTACAGTACAAGCCCAAGGGCACAGTGAATTAAAGAGACTTCAAACAGCTGACAGGCAGGCACATTTCACGAGACAATTCACATGAAGTCAGCACAGACATACTACAGCTAAATGCAGCAAAAATAATCTGAACAAGAATAACCCAGTAGAGATRCAGCCAATTCTGCAGAGCCACACAAGTTTCTGCACTCCAATCGCAAATCCTTGGGCACAGTTCAAACAATACCACAGCTAGCCCAGCAACACCAGCACAGCTCTGGCAGAGTTCAATAGCACTAGCGCCATACTGCATGAAGACCCTTGGAGTTCTCCCAAAATATAGGTGTCTTTGAGCACAGGATATTTGCTTCGCTGTGCTTTTATTCATCAGTCTTGCTGAAAGAGAATTCTTGTGCCAGTACAAACTCAGGTCAATCAGAAGGAGTTACTAATATATATTTGCATGAATATTCACAGCTGCTTCCTCAAGGTTTTCAGTCAGTTCCTTATATGAGTAGTTTTTTCCTATTCAGTTATGTAAAAACCAAACAAAAGCAACAGCTTTTTACACAAAAAGATTCTTCATCACTTTGCATCTGTAATGATACAGTATAATTGCTGCAAACAATCTAATAGTCAATAAAAAAAAAATCAGGCATTATCCCTTATATTAATGTATTTTTATTATGCCTCTAAGATGGGAGGAGAGGCTAGCCCTCTTGAATGTACTTGCCTGATGAATACTTGCTAAATGTGGATTGCAAAAGTTTTCAAAATAGCTGAACATAAATTTTAACTTATTTATTATCAGTCTAAAAGCCTTTAAACTTCTGAGTATTATAGTTGCTGCAGAACTAGATGGTGTCTCTTTACTGGTAGACTTCATAGTGAAGTTTGGAGAATGAAAACATTTCCCTGGCCAACAAACTAAAGTACTCTGTGGGTTGAGGGAAAGCAGCCATTTAAGCAGACTAATCAACAAACTATAGTTTTAGCCTTTATTATTTAGGAATGTTAGGTGCCCTCCCCTTCACCTACAAAAAAAAAAAAAAAATTTCTTTTTAGCAGTGCTAGTTCCTTGCCTTTCATGAACATCAAGAGAAACAGACAAAAATGCCACTACAGCTGTTCATTTCTTTGCATGCAGCTTAAAGAAACAAAACATAGAAGAATTAGGTCAAATGCTCTCTTTTTCTGTAGTGGAAAGTTAAAGAACAGCAGGACTTATGGAATTTACAGGGGAAGAAATTAAGTCCTATTGAAGTCGTAACAGTAGGGAGTTAGYGTTTCACTTTATTTAGTGTTTCACTTTAGCAAACAAACCCATTATTTCAGTTAGGGAAAAAAAGTTGTTAGAAGCTACAAACTATTTAGTCAAATAAATCTAATTGCTATTTCAAATTTTATAAAGGTAGCCACATTAGCTGTCTTCATATTTCCCTGGGACAATCTTTAGTTACCAGTTAGAAGAGTAATCTTTATATTATCTTACATGTAACTTTATGCTTAACCTACATCAATTCTGACATGTTCAATGTGGCATAACAGCACAGAAAAACTAAACTAGCCCTCTGGCAGCAAACTAAACTAGCCCTCTAGTTTAGCCCTTTAGTAGCTAGCCCTTTAGTTTTAGAAAAACTAAACTAGCCCTCTGTGAAAGTCTTTCGGGCCAAGCTGTGCCTATTTTAACAGTCTTGACCTCCCCTACCTTTCCATAATCTGACAATTCACAATTAATAAAGAGCACACAAACCACCATTCCTATTCACGAAAACACTTACTTTGCTGCATCTCTATATTGTTTCCACCAGATGATCACACACAGCTAACATGCAAGAGTAACATTTTGGAAGTTTTTCAGAAATATGTGCCAATACCTTATAAAAAAGCAATGTAAAATCACGTGTCATTTTCACCAAGTGACGTATATGCTCATCTGTCAGTTGGCAAACCTGTAAGAAAGACAAGAATGATTTTTAGAATATTAACATGCTATTGGACCATGGCCAGAAATGACCTATGATGCAGGTGCACTTTGAACATTGATGTGSAGTTGTATTTCTTCATGTTGTGATAATTCCCTGACTTACTATTATATGTATCATCTCAGTAAAATAGAACATGTTCATGTTCTGTACTACAAAATCTCACTGCCTGCATACCAAACAATGTGCTTTGCCTCAACAGAGCAAAACATGCAGTACAAAATTCAGTTGTCTTCCCCTATATTGACCAAAGAGTTCATGATCACATGAATCACATGGAGTTAGCAAGTCTCATTTTCCTCCTAATTTGCTCMTGGATTATAATATGACCTATCATATGAGGCTCTTTCCTGTGAGAGATATCCAGGAGGAATATGTGAGCCAAAGGCATCACAATTAGAGAGGCATATCAACCAACTCAATTTTTGTTAAGAACTCAACATTTTAAAACACATTTTTTTCTGCCATATTGCAGATAAAATTAAAATCCAGATTAATCCTATGAACAACTTTCAAAATACTATGTTTAAAAAATTTCAGTTACTAATCTTCATTAGCTTCCATTTACATTCTATGTAATCTCAGTCTGTTTTGCAAATACCATCTCAACCAAAGTTTGGAGACACATGCTTGAGGATACTAAAATAAAAAAAGTAAGAAACAATGGTAGAAAAAACATTGATGCCAGCTAGCAGGACAAGAAGTGGAAGAAGCAGCTGCAAAAATAATCAACTCTACCACATAAACTATTTTGGATAGCAACTGAACAAAGAAAACCTGAGCACTTTTCACTTTCCCTTATTTATTGACTGTCAGTTTAATGGTAGCATAACAGGATGTTAGACATAGAATATGAAAGTTAATCTGCTCCAAGAAGAGTCATGACAAATATCTCCAGTTACAATGGTAAAACATTAATTTGGTTGCCAAGAATAACTTAAGAAATGACAGATGATAAAACAAAGGTAAAAATATTTTGTATTTATTTATTTGTATTCTTAATATGTGTCCTTAACAAAAATATTGAGACATTCACCCACCTTAACAGCTGGATGAAGACCAGAATCAAACAGTGCTTCATTTTTTATGATATTTCCCACTCCAGGTAATACTGCTTGATCCAGTAACACATCACACAACATGCGGGTGTTCTGCTGCTTAATCTCATGCTCTGCTCGTGAGAAGCTAAATTTTGGAGAACAGACATCCAAGCTTTCCATCACCCTTACTTTCTGCTCACACTCAGCTGCATTCCTGGAAGAGCAGAATACAGTTATTTATTTTTATTTTCAATATATTCTAATATAACAGTGTGGTATAAAAAAGCACAATAAATTGTAATAGAACATTATATGCAGATAACAGAAACCATGAAAATACTAGTGACAGGAAAAGGCACAGTAATTCCATTAAACACCTCTTCCCAAAACACATCAATGAAACATGCATGGTACATGCATCTGGTCCACCATACAAGAAATCACCTTATTTTGTTCCTATGAGTTTGAAAAATATTTTCCAGCTCCTTTCTTTAAAACTACTGCTAAGATGGAAAGCCYATGTGTTTGGGTCATCAGATAACTGTATGGTTATACGGTCCATTAGTTACAAGAAATTTATGTGCATATGTGTTGGCCAGACTGCAGACACAAAATAACAGACACAGACACACATAAACACACACAAAAAGTAACAAACTTTGTTCAGGGACAGGCGTCTTTTATCCACTTTAGCAACCAGTGCATACATTTGTGTCAAGCATACATTGGTTAAGAGACAGCTGTTTAATTACTCATAAGTATATGATTGGTGAGTTTGYAAGAGCTGCARTGTCGCCAATGTTTTCAGTTCGGCCACCTGCGTTATCAATTATACATTCCAATCTCTTTTTCTCAAGGCTGCCAAGGATGTGGTATTTTTCTCCCATGCAGGCTGTTAACACTCCCCTACACATGTGTGTGTATATATATATATATATACACACACATATGTGTATATTAAAAATATATTTATATCTTGTATTTCAAAGAATCACAGAATATTTTGAGTTCGAAGGATACCACAAGGAGCATAAAGGACTACTCTCTAGTGAATGGCCCATATGGGGATGAAACACACAACCTTGGCATTATAAGCAYCATGCTCTAACCAACGSAGCTAAAACACATATATAATAGATATATGTAGTAGTAGGTTATTAATAGTAGTTAAAAAATTTTAAAATATATATATACATATGTTAAGGTACATATTTTCTTAGGTGAAGCATAATAATTTGAAAATAATATAGTAGTAAGTAATAAGAAGTCTTGGGCTTACATGAGATTTTGTTTTTTGTAATTTTAAATATGCTTATATATGTTACATATATAGCCCCTTTCCACCCAAGAGCCTCAATCACTTTAAAATCAAGCCTGCTGGTATTTTTATTAGCATTGTGAAGTACAATGCTAATGGGCATAAACATCACCTTAATGTAAATTAGAACAATCATAAAAATTTGCTTCCAAAAAAAAAAAAAAACCATCAAAACCCAACCTTGGGAACATAAAAATTTGAAACCAGTAATCACGATAGGTTTTTTGCTACTGTTGTTAAGGAAGTGAGACTTACATGGAAATTAACAGAGCAACAGGTTTCAGATCTAAGGGTAGAATTGAATCAAACTTTCATTCCTGGTCTTGACACTATCTAATGAGACTATGGTATAGAACTACTTTCACTGTATGTAAGCTCTGATACAAAAGCAACAAAATTAAATTGACATGCCAATAAATATGTTTAGAAAATTTTGTCCTCATAGCATCCAAGCACTTAACAATTTGTAGGTGATTTTTCATTTTCCTTAAAAGATTGTTATGAAAGATATAAAACAAACTGGTTGGTTAGTTTCTGCTTTACCTATACTCTAGTGTCACATCAAAAAAACAAACAGTATCTTCTGTAAGCTGTATCTCCAGAATTGGTTGGGCTCCATTTCTGTCTTTGCTTCCATCAGGATTAACAGACATGGAACCGTTCATACCGAAGTGAATCCTCAGAAAGAAAGAGAGTTTTTATAGGTATTTTAACTTCACTATGGTTTCCAAACATTACACCAGTCTGTTTCTACAAGCTGTGAACCTCACCTAACCAAGTCAGTAAGTATGTACATTCATTTTAGTCATTACCAGTAACACAACAACAAACTATTTGCTTACACACTGCTCAATTCCCAGAGAACAAAGAACCCTCTCCAAGTCAAAACCACTCCAAAACATAGCTGGTTTTGAGTAGTCTTCATAATTCACTGTACAGAAGTCAAACTTGATCATTAAGTAGTGCCATTTTTGGGTGCATTTTCACTTGCATTTTTTTCACTTGACATGCTGACCTTCCAGCATGGATTGTTAAACCTTCAGGGAGGCTGAAAGAAATTAGGCCACTTGACCAGAAAGTTTTCTGTTAAATCACGCAGAAGTCACCTGGTATGAAAAGAAGGATTTCAGTCTCCATATTGCCAACATTGTTATCACAACACAGCAACATCCAGTAATGCCATAAACAAAGTAATTAGTATTTGCCATATGTTGTTTTCTGCTTTTCTTTGCCTACAACCAAGGCAAAACCTGCAGGTCAATTAAAAATTAATAAAAGAAATAAACTGAAAAATTCACAGATGGCAAAGTGGAGAATAGACTCTTTCAAGCATTCATTTTACAGATTACTAATGCTTTAAGAGGTCTTACATTTTATAAAATATTCTACCAGGAGCTATGCTTGAGCAAAGGACAGGTCTGACTATTGTCTCATACATTTTATTTATTACTAATTGACTTGGTACAATCAAGTCCTAAAAAACCATAAGAGAGAGGGAATATCCTATTACATTGTATATCAGAAAAAGTGGATTATTTTGTAGTTACAAGAAAATTTAACAGATTAAACTACATAAGTGACCAAACAAATGCAGTATCAGATCTATATTTCCTTTAAGCCCCTTTCTTATGTTTCAGGAAGGACAGACATTTAAATATTTACAGAATGAGTTAAAACAACATTATTAAGCAGAGTCTTACAGTTAACTCTTTAAAATAAAAAAAAAATAGTGCTATGAGTTACATAAACCTGTATGTTCTTATAAGAACATACTCTTCTTATAAGTCAGTTCAGGTGATATAGTTGTTTCAATCACATTTATCTTAAATAGCCATTTTCAATTCTCAAGTGCTGTGACTGCACAGGCTTAACTACCCAACTTATTTTTAAACCTAGACTAATTTTCTTTTTAAACCAAACTCTTGCATCTTGATAACAAATGGTAATGCACAAAATGCTTTCAGGAAGTTATTTTTTAAGATACAGCATTCACATTAATAGCTGATGGTTTCATTTACCAAGATCCAGTATACTGTTTAAAAGGAACTTTTAGAATCACAACTATCTTAGTAACTTGTCAGTTCATGCATAGAAAAAAAAATTGAAGTATAACTACAGATTCACATTCAAAAGCCTTAATAAATTTACAAAATTTCATTCTAAAGTGTTTTATTAACTTTGATGTCCTGAAATAGGGCAAAACAGAAATATTCTAATTTTAATTACAGATAGAAACGGATTTGTTATTCAGTGATGACTAGTGGTAAGGAATTGATAATTTCTTGTTGTTTTAAAGTAAAAAGGTGACACTGTAGAATTATTTGGTGCTACACAGTATTGCAGGGATCTGCATGCACTACACTGCTTGCACTACCGTGCATGCACTGTAACTGTTTTGTCCCTAAAAACTACAAATCCTGTTTGAAAAAAAAGCGTGTCAGAAAATAACTGTCCTTTTCAGATACCTTTATATGGAATCTTAAAATAAAGCAGTAAATCATCTGAACATGTGATTATATCYAGTACTCCTGTACTGCAGAGATGCTGATGAAAAGTTTCTCTGTAACAGTTTCAATCTCTGATTGAAAGAACAAGATGACCCCCCCAATACATTCAGTCTGAATGCATAGGAAGCCTTTTTCTCTCTTCTTACCTCAAAGCTTTCTGATCAAAATACATAAAAAGTTCCTTTCCCAATGTCTCCACACCCCTGTAAAYATGTCCAACAAGGAAATCGTGTCCAGAGATTCTCTCTTTACTTGCCGCAGTCTGAAAAATGAGTACACACACATGAACAAAGATTAAAGAGAATTTATACTGCTTTGATTCTAGCATCAGAACACATTCAGCAAGCAGCTGTATGAATAATTTTCCAACTTGGACAACATTAACTATTTTCCCTTTAGCATTCTACTAAAAATGACGGGACTATTAGCCCACGAAGCAGTTACTATTGCCAATGCTATCATAACTTAGCTCAATTTTTTTCTTATTGCAACAATATATCTTTTTATCAGCGTATTTGATGTCTTTTCCTTTGAATCATACATTTATAATAAGAGTTTCAGACTGGTGTAAAATGAACAGGTAGAGTTTGAATGTTAAAAACATGTCAGTGTCAATTCTGCCATTTGCAGATCTATATCCTTCTCCAAACGGTAATAATATGCTTTCAGTGTTTTGCATGGGGCATTGTGTATTACAGAAAAGCCTCCACAGAACCAACAGAGATATCTCTCTCCTCCTACTGGTTTGAAGTCTAATCTCAGAAGCAGGTGAGCCGCAGGTGGGATGTTACTAGAGGACAAGATAACTGTGAGATTAAGGCAGTGATATTTTCTTGCTTAGCACATGAAAATTCACTGAAATTATGAGGGGTCTCTACAGTTTATCTGGTCCAAACACCTGGTCAAAGCAGAATACACTTAAGGACAGGGAGCCCAGGGCCTTGTCCAGTCAACTTCAGAGCAGCTCCTGGGAGGGAGACTCCAGTCTCTTTGGGCCCTTGTTCCATGGCTTGGCTATTGTGGTGGAATCTTTTCCTAATACCTAACAAGATTTTTTCCTATTGTCACCTACATCTGCTGCGTTTCACCCACTGCCACCTCCAAGAAGAGTCTGTCTCCTTCATATCCGTACAGGTAGCTGAGGAGAGCAATGAAACCCCAATACTACCAGCTTCTCCTTGTGCACCACGTGTTTCAGCTTGCTAATTACACCAAGGGACTCAAGCAAGTGTGTTACTTTGTTCTTATGGGGGAATTGGAAACTCAGATGCAACTTTGCCAGCGCTGATCAGAGGTAAAAATCACTCTCCTCAACCTACAGAGCCCAGCATGAGGCTGCTCCTCTTCCCTGGAAGGGCGTGCTGGTGACTTGGACTCAGCTTTTACAACACTAGGTCCTTTTTTGATGCAGAGCCATTTTCTATCAGAGCAGCAGCCAGGACTGTGCTGTTGCATGAGACTCTTGGGTTCCAAGTGCAGGACTCCACAAGTCCTGCAAGTACTGAACTTGAGTTTCTACCAGCCATTTTCTCAACCTGTGACAGTCCCCCTGAATARCATCCCAAGGTCCATCCAGACCCTGCTGAAACATGCAAGCAGCAGATCACTGTCATCATAGCCCTAACTGCAAGACAGATACAAATATCAGTGCTTCAATCACAGCACTCAATGCAAATATGCATGAAGGCAACTCCAGCAAATCAGGAAGCCTTGTGCTAGTTAGTGACATTTCAGAGCTACTCTCCCACTGTATTAGCCTGAAATGATACACATTTAGAAAGCTTTATAGTTATTATTCTGTCAAATAAGAAAAATATTTCTTTCATTGCATCTCTTACTTCGTCTGTTATAAAAACATGAAAAAAGCAAAATTTTTCTCCCATGTAAACAGTTTATGCTTTCCAATAAAAGCATTAAAGTCAGTTGCTGCGCAACAAAATTTATTTTGACTTTAAGCCACTTGGTTTTATTTAAAGTAAACCAAAATAAGAAATGACTGAGATGGAAGAATAACTGGTCTTTTCAAATATTTAAAGTCAAATTCATACCACTTTCTTACCAGGCAAATCCTTATACCCATCATAGAACAAACTCTGCTAAACAGTGTAATCTTCAGCAGTGGCCAAGGCTTTGGCCATAATTAGAAGCTCTTGTGAATCTAAGAAGTCCAAGACCCTTAGGACAGTCATTTTCCAATGAATAGAATCTGCCCTGAGGTGACTTTTACTGCACAAAGTGATGAACACGAATCTATTTGAAGGAATGAGATTTCTTATTGAAACCTTAGAAGCATAACTCCTTACTTCAAAGCTGTGTCCCAAAAGATATTAACCTATAAAGAGTAATATGAAGACCTATCTTAGATGTATCTTAAACCACATTCTTTCCTAAACTGTTTCATTGAAGTATATTGAAGTATTGTGCCTTGATAATCACAGACTCCTACACTGCTTTATATACAGTAAAAGTGGGTAAAAATTCCCCAAATTTCTGCCTGCAAGCATTCTTACCTGGGACACAAGCAACAGAGTTTTTTACAGATGAGAAAAACCAGGCATGGAAAAAAGATATCTTAGTTAGCTCTGTAATCAAAACCAAATAACTGCATCTCCATGCTCATCAACAAGACCTCTTTATTGACACCCTGATTTCTTTGTCCACTACAAGGTCTCACAAGTTCCAGCAGCTTTATATTTGTGAATTATTTTATGCTGTCAACGAACAGCAAAAAACTAGTAGGAAAATTACATACTGAGTATGTAGCATTGAAAGCAGATGTCACATTCTTTATTTAAATATTTGGTCTAATAAAAATTGCTTAAAAAAATTATAGAAGTAAAAGCCCTCTTTCTGCAGGTCAACATGTACCTTTCTCATGTTTCATATAGATTAGAATCATGGCATGGTTTGGTTTGGAAGGGACCTTAAAGATCGTCTAGTACATGCAAAGCACATTTAGTACATCTAGTACATTTCATAGTTTTTATGAAAAGATAAGATTACTAACAATTTTCCTTGTATTTAATGCCTCCTGAAGCAACATGATATTCTGAAATTTATCGTAAGTGAACACGAGTGATTCTAAAAGACTTCCCTTATTATTCCTTAAAGCTGCTGCTTTTACAGCTTCAGCATCACCTTTACACACCCCACCTGCTGAGACTTACTATGTTGATGACAACAATGTTTCATAACTTAAASGAAGAATAAAGACAGTATTCGCGGATGACACCCACCACCACCCACGGACCACGGCAGCCGCGGCTCGGGAAGCCCCAACCATCCTGCTCGGAGCTCCGGCCSCCAGCTCCGAGTCCTTGCACCCCGGTGGCACCTGCCGGCACGCCGGCTGTCATCCAAACCTGGCGTCATTTACCACTGCAGACATCCAGGAGCAGAAACGCTGTGAACCACCCTTGCCGGAGCTGGCTGCCCCGCCCTGTCCTGGCCGCCGGGCCGGGCCGA